TAAAATTTTTCTATTTAAAACTTTTTAATGCAGAGGAAAATACTTTTCATAGTCTAAGTATTATTTCAATAGTTCAGTTGAACACTACCAATAATTGCATATATATGTTTGTAAATCAGAAAACACCATAGTTGTGTGATCTACTTTTTAAAGATTTTATTAAAGTAGAAAAGAAAGCATTACATTTAGCAACTTTATTATGTAGCCCCAGCTGTCCTGGAACTCACTATGTAGACCATCCTAGACTGGTCTCAATCTCTCAAAGATACACCTGCCTCTGCCTCCTCAATGCTGGAAATAAAGCCATGCATCACCATGCCCCACTTTAACAACTTTTGTTTTTTTTTAATTTATTTAATAACTACATAATTAGAAGAAGCATTCCATTACAACAGCATTGACATATTCCATAACGATTTCCAGAGCTAAGATGCACCTCTTTCAAATTTGGCTGTAAATTTTTTAGGTTTACAGTTGAATTAATACAATATTGTACTCAGTATAAGCCCTATAAGACATAAAACTGAAGTTTTAACTTTTAAAAAATATCTCCATTTCATTATTAAAATATACTGTTTCATACAGAAAAACTCATTTTTAATGCAAATAACATTTAGATGTGTCTCTAATCTCTATATAATCTGATTATTACTAGTCACAGTTGGTTACTTGTTACGATCTGAGCTCCTTAGTATCTGAGCATGGATATAAAGTCATCAGGTAGATGTTTATCACCTCTACTAATTAACATGACATAAATTTTTATGCTTCCTTCTCAAATACAATTCATTTTTTTAATTTATTGATTTTGTGTATGTGTGTGTGTGTGTGTGTGTGTGTGTGTGTGTGTGTGTGTATTTCACACAGAACATCCCAAACAACCTTATTCATCTCTATACCCACATCCCAAGTGATACCCTCCCATATCCTCCCCCACACCCCCCGCTGGAGCCCATATACTCTATCATTCCTGTTATTCTCCACTGTGTTGTCAGTGCCCCCGGCTGTTCCCCAGTGCTTATCCATCCCCTGAGTCTTATCAGCCTATCTATAGTTCCTTGTTTTAGGAAGATCAGCTCTTCCTCATCTATCAGAAATCAGTTGCCAATATTCCTTTAGATTAAAATTGAGGTCTCCTGTTCATTTTCCCAGTTCTACACTGGGTTACTTACTGTCTGGGAGTCTCTTGGGCCACCCTGGCCAACAACTCAAAAGAAGGTATCGCCTGTCTGGCATTGTTTCTTGTTATGTAGCCTTTCGCTATACACACGGACTCTTATTAAAGAATTATATTAATCCCTTTAATCTTTGGTTATACTTTCCTTTTAGATGCTTAAAACCATGCAGTTGGCCCAGATAAACCAATTTATTTTTACTCTTAAGGTCCTTTGAGGATCTGTTTCTCAGGGCTCACATGGACTTAGGAGGAGCCTCTACCAGTTCCATCTATGTGAAGATAAGTCAAAGGTCCTGCTCAATCATGGATGGCTTCACTTGGAACCATGATGGAAATGTTTCCTCTGTGTTAACCCTCCTTTTTGTAGACTGAACACTGGTTCAGGTCCATCTGGTGGGGTCTCCATGGCCTCCTTGATCAGGAGAACAGG